ATCATCATTTTACTACGAAAATAAGAATAAATTTGAAATTTGTCTTATAATATCATCTAATTTAAAAATCTAATTTACAACTATAACAAAAAATAATACATTGCATAATTTATAATGTAAATAAATATAAGATTTGATGATCATTGTAATTAGTACAATTATGAATTACAATATTATAATAAACGTGATTCAAAAAACAATAGTACGACCCTCACAAATAATTAAATCTAATGCATAATAATTAGTATTCATAGAAATATAGAAATTAGTAACATAAATTTGCAATTATATTTTAATAAAATTAGAAAAATAAATAAAAAAATTCATATTTGCAATGTGGGATAATTGATAAAGCAACTTGAAATAAATTCTAAAGTGGTATGAGCTAGTGTTATTTTTCTCTCTTAAAATATCCCATAAACTAGTTTTTTGTTTTGCCCACATATTGTAGAAATGCAGGCTTGGCAATAAATATACTTTTTTAAATATAATTTGATCTTAATTTTTAGATAATATATAATTTTTAACATAGATATCATGAATATGAAAAAAAAAAAATTTGAAAACTAGAAATAATAATTATACTGAGAAAACATTTGGACCGGTAGTTACACTTGTTTTTAGATGGACCACCTATTTGCATCCATCTTTAAGATAGATGCTTTATACCTCTGGACTGCATATTGTAGAAATGCGGTCCGGCCCGTGTGAAGCAATTTTCCTTCAAAAAATATTGTTTACAAGTACAGAGAAAATAATACATTACATAATTTATATTGCAAATAAATTAATAAATATAATACCGGATTTGGGTGTATAATTATTATTTATAATAAACAAGATTCAAGAATTTCTATATAACAACTTAATACATTTTGAAATTATATGAAATTGTTATTGCTGTATAAAATAAGTTTTTGTAATAATAACAAATAAACAATAAATTATTTGTTAATATTTGTAAAAGTTAAAATTTATTATTTATAAATACAATCTAAACTAAATATGAAAATAGTATAATGGCCATCTACCATTGATTTTATTTCTAGAAATGGAAGCATCCAAAGGCTGGCCATCTACCATTCGTCCTAGTATCTAATGACGAAGAAGAGCAACTCCTCTGCAATGGAATTTCAAAAGCAGACAAATGGTGACTTCCACCGTCAATTGATGAGAGTAGCCAGTTTATGTTAGCATAAAGTGGGGGTGGCGACGGGAGAGAGAGAGAAAGAGTATGGGATTATTTGAAATGGGAGGAATGGACAATTGTCCCACATCGGAAAGTAAGTAAACGTTTAATGTCTATAAAAGCGCTGACAACTGCCATACCCGTGCACATGTAGTTTGTAGGTGAGCAATTGGTTATGTGTTTAGTGGAGGCACAGTTTACCCTTCATTATATGAAAAATTATCGAAGTGTCCAAATCATGATGTCATCAATCTGAATAAGTGATGTCATCAACTGCATTTCCTGTAGCTAATCGTTCGGATCCCGTTTTATTGCTGGATCCGGAATGGTCCAACCGATAACCGATCCGGATCGCCCGATTCCGGATCGAGTCGCCGATTTTTAAAACACTGGTCGCAACACATTATCCCAAGCACATTATCCCAAGTTCAAATCCTATTGCCGAACTACACATAATAGTTTGTCTTCCTCATGACAAGAAAATATCGGTCTTAAAAGATATTGATGCAACATAGGTTAATAGATTCATTCTCAAAAGAAAAAAGGGGATGTATTCATTTAAAAGGCAATATAAGAGCTAACCTCCTTGGAAATATAATTATGAAAATCATCTTAAATAACAATTGTTATAGAATTGGTGGGATTTTTCCTCCGGCAGCTATCATTGTGGGATGTTCCTCAAAAAAATAAACAATACATTCTTATAGCATGCACTTCAAGTTATTTAACTTCTAGAACTCAAGAACACCTTTGGTAGATTAAGAATTAGGAAAATTAAAATCATTTAGATCAAACAACAAATGGATCTTACCTGCAAAGGACTAAGATAAAGTGGAATACTTTCACTATCATTCCCATTTTGACTGCCAAAAGGATAATGTAACAGCCTTGCTACCAACGAACCCGAACCAAGCACAAGGCTTGCTGCAAAGATCAAGAAAAAATACTACCATCAAATATTCCTCCCAAAGACATTTTTATGTGATATAACACAGGCATTCTAATAAGGCAACATCTGCACGTAGTAAATTTTGGGAATAGCACCATTTGCTTCAACAAAAGAACCTGGTTTTCCTCCATTCCCAAAAGAAGTGGACATACTTTGATATGACCATGACCACTTAAGCCTACATTGTTTTAGGATCACCCGTAAGGGTAAGCAGGGCTATTTATTTGACAAGACTATTAATATGTCCAAATGGACCCTGAAGAAATTGAAATAGTCCAGCGTAAATTTAATGGAATAATTTCATGAGACTTGTCATAATGCACAAGGTATAGAAGGGCACAAAATCCCTAATAAGTAAAGAAACACTACCATAAGTCCACAAAATGCAAAGAATCCCCCACTAATAAAGGAATATGTAAACATAATCAAGGGATAATAACATAAATTTCTTAGCATCTAACTCATCCCAGTAACACCTCAAGAATATACTTAGAGACTGGAAAAATCCAGCATATATGATTTTTTGGTAGACAAATTTTACTTATGGGTCAATCAGTTAAAATCTATGCGGCTCTATCACAGTAATCGGATGACGTTCTTCTCACAAGCTCCACTCCAAATGTTGCCCGATTAGCTTTACAGATCATTCAGGTCTGGCTGGGGAAGGCAAATGCTTCAAAATTTGGGTTCATTTTGACAAGGGCTTCAGTTTTTTCCAGTTTTTGGGTAAACCAACCGTCCAGGAAACAGGTCCGGATAGGCGGGTCACCAATCCAGATTGATTTCGCCGATCCGATTGATTCACCCAAACAAGAATCAATCAATAAAAAAAAAAAAAGGACTCAAAATTTAAAAATATTAAAAATACTAGAAAAATATAAATCATGTACCAGACGATTCTGGCAGAATCGGCATGACTACTGGTTCCGGCTGCAAATCCACCAATTCCCAATCCGGGATAAGGCAATGCCGATCCAGATGGGCGTTTTTTAAACATTGGTTTTTTTGTCCAATCAACTAAAAAATAGGAGATGAAGAAACCGAAAATAACAGATTGCATTACCTACCCAGAAAGAAGAATTTTTTATTAATTGTATTTATCTAAAAGTAGTAAAACATCACACCAGAAATATATATAGGAATTTGTGTATGAATGTTCTTCCATATAAGGGCATCTTTAACTTTTAAAAATCTACCTAAGGGATTGTCAGTTTCCATGATCTTTTTTCAGCTTATCATATCCATGCATGTATAGATGGGGTGTTGGGCGTCTTTCTTATTTACATTAGTGTACATTTCTGACCACAGACTACCAATATTAGCACCACATATGAAATATAGGTGCCGTTAAAGGTACCTAATAACTACAAACATGTGAATTTCTTCCTTACAGTATCTCGTCCTTCACATCAAAGAAATTTTTCAGTAGTGACCATGATTATTGTTTCCAAGAACTGTCAGTTTCATCTTTGTAAAAGCGTTTGTGTAACAAAATAAAGAATTATAAACCAAATGACCTACAAATGGTTTGAATGAAATCTAGAAACATTACGCCTAAAAATGTTTAAATTTGCAATGAGAAACCAGTACTACTTACCAAACCATTGTGCCCACTGGGCAACCAATTGGGAGAAAATATGAGCCCAATGAAGGTGTTCCTTCCTCCTCTCATCATCCCAGAAATCTTCATGGCTAGAATCACCATATTTCTGCACATAATATAGAGATTAATTAAGTGGAAAGTAGGAAAAGATTTCCATCAATCATATAGGAAAGCCGGTTGTTAGCATGAGTATTGCAGTATTGCATACACCAAAAAATAAAAAAACTTATATCTTGAAATGTAATACAGGAACACATAAAATAAGGGCAAAAAACAAACAAAAACAATTTCATGGAAAAACAGTAGATTAGGCGCAGACATACGCCATGCTGTACAAGGTCAAGATATGTAACCCCCCTCTTGAAAAAACGAACAAAGAAAGTAGAAAACCAGAACATGCCGTGTGGTACACTAATCACAACCAAAACAAAAAAGATATTTGGGTTATCATTAATATAGTTTGGATGCTTTCTGACATGCTACACTAATCACAACCAAAAAAACAAAGAAAGAGAAAATAAAGCATGTGTTATAGTTTGGATGCTTTCTGACATGTTTGGATGCTTTCTGACATGTTACACTAATCCCACTAATATAGTTTGGATGCTTTCTGACATGTTACACCAAAAAAACAAAGAAAGAGAAAATAATCCACACTAATATAGTTTGGATGCTTTCTGACATGTTACACTAATCACGAACAAAAAAAACAGAAGTGACATGTGGTACACTGATCACAACCAAAAAACAAACAGGAGTGACATGTTACAAAGAAAGAGAAAATAAAGCATCATGACACTATGGTAGCAGAAAATATTAGAGACCTAACCCCAAAAGATACCCCGAAGGTTTGCCCATTGTTCCACCATTGATTTGGTTGGACTCTCTTGGTACAAGGAAAATATCTGATATATCGATGAAATCAGCTCCATCAAATACAGTACAGAGTTGCAAAGTGGACATTCCCTTCCCTACCAGTGGATAATGTTCCAGAGTCACCTCAATTTCACAAGCTCTAAACTTGACACCAATATACAAGTCTCAACCAATAACTCTCGAGCTTAATCCCATATTGAGTCAATCTGATTGTTCATCTCCTAAACCAATTGATAATTCTTGGAGAGGCAGCCTCAAGTATAAAAGGACCAACAAATTTCATGCCAAGATACAAACCTCAACCAATAAAAACTTGGTTTGAGCCCTACTTTTCAAGTCCTCTCATTGCATCAGGTCTATGCAACATTTGGTAAATGCTCCCTGTTGAAAATGTATGCCCCGTTCTTTGCAGGAGGTTAACAATTACAGGAAAAAGGGATGCAAATAACTAGAAAGTTCCCAAGATTATGACAGGTCAGATTTACAAAATCTAGAGTGTTTAGCATGTTTGTGGCGCTCAATCATTTCTAGGCCCCAAGAAAGAATGAGAATGAAGGGGCAGAAGGAAATAAACAAACATATAATATAGTTACCGATGAGGGTAGCCGAGCTTTTATCAACTCCAGAATCCAGATGCAACCAAAACATGCACAAAAACACTTTAGGCACAAAGAAATCACAAAACCAGTAACTGTTTGGTGAATTAATAGGATCACAAAGCATGCTTCATGAAACAAAACTTCATTTAACAAGCATTAGCTCATTCTTGTTGGAAATCATTTCTTTTATATTACAAGAGCAATCAAAGTGAAAAAGAATGTGCACAAGTTACCTCCGAAAAACTTCGACCATATCGGTCATCACCAAGTAGGGGTTCATTTAGCGAGTCGGCTCTTCCTGCATCTACATGCTCATGTTTCTTTCCATCAACATCCCCATGATGCAGCCTTCGCCTTAGAGTCGTTCTTGATGTCATAACTCTATTTTAATTGGTGTTAATTACTAGCTACTGCCATAGAAGTGATAAGCCCTTTTAGTCAGACAATGGCAATATATGATCAAACAAAATAGGGAGAACAAAGAGAAAATTAAAGCACATCACCAAGGGGCAAAAAACTAAATATCTCTATTGCAATAATCAGAACCACCAAAGCACATTGATAAGTGAAAAACAGGTACACCCCATTTCTATTTTCTTTCACTTTTTCTTGTATTCACTGAATCACAAAACTGAAACCATTTCAAAAATAGAAGTTTAGGATGGTTTTAGCCAAAGACCCAAATGAAATTTCCAAATCCCGCTCCAAAATTTTTGCCCTGGTTTCATTCCTTTTCAGTTAATTAACAATAGGGAATTTGACTAACATCCATAACATCAGTCACATGTCAGTGAGTCACATTGATTTATGCAAAAGCCTGTATATTTGACTGCATATTTGATTTGAAGTAGCTGCAAGGAACACATCCTCACATCAAAACAGATCCATTCTAAGCTCAAAAATAAATAAATAAACATAAAAATAAAAAAATAGAAAGTTCCCACTTTGAAGATTTAGTAAAGCAAAAAAAAAACATCAAGTATTTTTTTCGACACAAGTAACAAATTTCTTTTCGGAACATGAATTACAGAAGGGTATTCTCATGAAGCATTCAATAGAATCACAATAATTACCCAATTCTTAATTTTAAGATCCTAAACAAATGATTCCAGAGGCATGGAATTGAAATATTTTCTACAAGAATTTACTTATAAAATGCTCAAAAAATTTAACTATTTCTTTTTACATATTGGTATACATATCAAATTTAAGGCCATTATGCACATACCAAACATGGGTTTATTCAACTAAAAACCAAACAATTTCTCAGACTCTGCAGAATAACTGAAACCTAAAAAGGTTAAACAAAACCCATATAAATGGAAATTAAACCAACAAATTCCAAAAGAAACCATACGCTCTTCGAATCAACCCAACAACAACGACAAAAAAGATACAAAAAAGGAAGAAAATTAGGGATGCCTACGCATTGTTATCTGAATAAACAATATAGAATTGAAAATAGAAAACATAAATAAGCTCAAAAGGAGGGACTGAGAGGCATACTAACCAGGACCCAGAAGGGCAAATCACCATATGGGGTTTTTGTAAGCCCAAGAAAGATTCATGTGCAAGGCATGAGAGAGAGAGAGAGAGAGGGAGAGCTCGCACGCAAAGCAAAGAGGCCTTGATCAAATTAAAATTTTAAGGCCACCAAGATCATAACAATATATAATTGGGGTATATGAAGATTATTTGATTCTATACTTTTCCATATTTTTCTCTAATAGATTTGCTCCTGGGTCATTTCTAATTTTTTCTCGCTCTCTCCTACCAGTATTTTCTCTCTCTAAGTCCTTACAGTCTCTCTCTCTCTAGAATAGGAAAATGACGAAACTACTCTTCTGGGAGGTGAAACTTCCGTTTTCTCTCTTTGAGAGGAAAAAAGAAAATGACCGAAGACACTTCCACTTCTTGATTTTCTTTTCTAAGGGGTTGTTTTTTGGTAGGCCCGCAGCTCTACCATGTATTGTAAAGCCTCAAATTGCCACCAAACTGCACGCTCTGAAAAGGTTTGTGAGGTCCTGTAAATCTATTTTCCTATAGTTCTCTATATGGTATTTGATACCCTAAAAATGGTGTAGGTCAAGTAGAAAAAGGTGTTGGTCAAGTAGATCTGAGAACATTTTAAGTGGGCGGGTCGTAAAGTTACAATATAATATATAATTTTTAATACATAAAATTCATTTTGTTTTTTTTTTTTGTTAAGGTCAAAATAATCAATTTATATATTTTTAAGATCGAAAATATATTTTTAAATGAGATTTAATAGAAAGAATATAAACCTCATAACCCCAAACTATACTTTCCCTTATTTAAAGTACATAACAATTTAAATATGATTGTATTTGAATGGGTCCCCTGCTAAATCACTCTAGATGTATCTCTACTCATAGAGTGAATCTCTACCCTCTATCCATGATTTTGCATCTTAAGAAATAGTGTGAATTTGATTATCTATGAATAAATGAAATGAAGGTTATAAATAATCTGAAAATAAACTTTAAAATAGTTTTTTATTATTAAAAAACCATAGTTTTTTAAATTAATGATCGTGCATATTAAGAAACCAACTCTTCCCTTTACTTCCTTGGGAAAAACCCCAACCAGCTATTCGACTAACTTTATAGAAAAAAAAACTAAAATCAAATGCAACCTACATCATAAGATTGAACAAAGACCATCCAATTTTTAAACACGTCGAGTTAAGTATTTAAGAACTCAAAATCGAAATAATTTTTTTCCTTTATAAATAATTATATGGTAATGTAAGCAGATCCCAATTTTCAAAAAGAAGAAATCCTAGTGAGTAGCTCTTCCGCCTAAGGAAGTTATGTACAATATGATCCAGCAGAAGCTCTACACATATTATTTTGTCTGGACATATTCATAGATATTTCTCGGAGTTAAAATAACAACTTTAGTTGCTACCTTAAGCCCCACTTTTGCGACTTTTATCTCACACTTTACCATGAAAGTGTTTAAAGCTAAAACTGGAAATAGCAAAAAGGTAAAAAGTTGTGGGCAAATGTAGTGTCTTTTAATGGCCTCTAGCTATTGTACCACTTGGCTTTCTTCTTTGATCTCTTTGTGTCTAGTGTTTTTCGGAAATGGCAATGGACTCGGAACAGGCATCTTAATCAGATCCGGGTCGGGGTATGGTTCCAAGACTTGGACATGATGGGTTGATTCTGAGTTCAAATATTGGAGTTGAACACTATTGGGGTCGGATCTGGGTTTAGATTCGGTCCAACACGACCCCGATCCCAACAGGTTGGCACCCCTATGTTTGTCTAGTGTCTGGTTCTTCTACATGGCTACTTCCATCCTAAGCTTTTTAGAGTATAACCATTGATTCATCAAATGATTAATATTTAAAAAAACTAGGGAAAGCATCTAGTCTTCCTAATCCAGGGATCATTTTTTGTGCTTGTGATCTTGCTTTTACATGAATACACTCTATGTTAGTATTTTTGGTTTAAAAAATACTTATATGTATTTCAAAACAATACTATGGTATATTATTATTTCCTAAATTGCTTTAATTATGGTTTTATTATTCTTTCCTAAATTGCTTTGTAGAGAGAAAGCTGTGGGTTTGAGTCCCACATTGAAGATGAGAGCGTTTATTGAGGTGTATTTAAGAGCACTCATTCCCATATAATACACTTTAAGTACAAAGAAAAGATAATGGCGCTTGATGGCACATACTCGCATCAGTGCATGAGGCGGTCGGGCTCGTGGCGGGATCCAACTGAGTCATCTAGGTGATGCATGTAACCACCCTCTTGGCCCTTTTTTGATGGGTGCAAGGGCGTTCGATGGCACACGCTTGCATCACTACATGATAGCCGTTTATGAGTGTCGGACACTTAACGGTCACCCGACCGTTGGAGAGTGTGGGATATCCAACGGACATCTAGCCCACCCGTTGATGAGATAGAGGCATTTGTAACAACAGCAGCATTCAAGTGCATGTTAACTCATGGGCGGTTTGATGGCACACACTTGCATCACTACATGATAGCCGTTTATGAGTGTCGGACACCTAACGGTCACCTGGCCGTCGAAGAGTGTGGGATATCGAACGGACATCTAGCCCACCTGTTGATGAGATGGAGGCGATTGTAACAACAGCAGCATTCAAGTGCATGTTAACTCATGTAACTAGTAGTTGTTGGGGCACCCCAACTCATGTAACTTGTAGTTGTTGGGTGATGCATGTATCCACCCTCATGAAGGGCGTTTGATGGCACACACTTACATCACTGCATGATAGTCGTTGATGAGTGTCGAACACCCAATGGTCACCTGGCCGTCGAAGAGTGTCGATCACGTAGCCATCGAAGGTTGCGGTACATCCAAGCCATTGATGAGTGTCCGACACCCAACGATCGCCTGGCCGTCGAAGAGTGTCAATCATGTACCATCGAAGACTGTGGGACATCCAACGGACATCTAACCGTTGATGAGATTGAGGCTTGTAACAAGCAATGCTCGCAAAAATGGTGGATCTAACCGCTAACCAGCCATGGCGGGATACAACAGAGTCATCTAGCCTGTTGATGAGTGTGGGACACCCAATAGTCACTTAGCCGTGGAAGAGTGTGGGACATCGAACAGACATCTAGCCCACCCGTTGATGAGATCGAGGCACTTGTAACAACAACAGCATTCAATTGCATGTTAACTCATGTAACTTGTAGTTGTTTGGGGCACCCCAACTCATGTAACTTGTAGTTGTTGGGTGATGCATGTAACCACCCTCTTGGCCCTTTTGTGATGGGTACATGGGCTCTTGATGGCTCACGCTGACATCAGTGCATGATAGCCGTTGATGAGTATCAGACACCCAACGGTCACCTGGCCTTCGAAGAGTGTCGATCATGTAGCCATCAAAGAGTGTGGGACATCCAAGCCATTGATGAGTGTCGGACACCCAACGGTCACCTGGCCGTCAAAGAGTGTCAATCATGTACCATCGAAGAGTGTGGGACATCCAACGGATATCTAACCGTTGATGAGATGGAGGCTTGTAATCGTATTTTAAACTTTAAATAGAATAGTACTTCAAATTCATATCAAATTTTATCATAATGTTGTAGTGATTTAGGGTTTGATTCCCACCGTCGACGTTGTTTTCTTTCAAGCCAAATTCATTTTATTTGTACTAGACCCACTAACAAATATGCCAACTATTGATAAAAGTAAGGGTCTATAGTATATAATATAATTTTTTTCTTTTTTAAAAAAAAAATAATTTTCTTTGAAAAACGATCATTTTCTTTTTATTATTGCTAGACCCACTAACCAATATGTCATTTACTACTTAGTTGATAAAAATAAGGGCCTATGTTATATATAACATAATATTTTCTTCATTTTCTTTAAAAAAGAAGGATCATTTTCTTTTAAAAAAAGAGCTGGTCAAGTCTATTTTTTAACACTATTTTAATATTCTTTACATTATGGTAAAGATTTAAAAAAAATTAATCATTGATACTTACTTTTGTATTTTCCTATCTTTTTCAGAAAATTTTAAAAATACCCCTAGGCACAAATCGACTCGTTAAAATCTATGTTTTCATTAATTTTCAACTTCATCTGAGTGTGTTTTGTTTTAATCACATTTTTTATATGTTTTTTCATATTTTATTTTTTTGTATCTTTTTTATTTTTTTGACAATTTTTTTATCATTGGGGGCTTGCTTGGTTAAAGCGATTGAATCGGCCAGTTTACCAGTTAGGCCGGTTAAATCGCTTCCAGGCCCATGTCCGGTTAACCATTATGGTTTGATTTTGTGAACACTGGTAACAGTAGTATTCAAGTGCGTGTAACTCATGTAACTTGTAGATGTTGGGGTGTATACAACTCATGTAACTTGTAGCTATTGGGTGATGCATGACTTGTAGATGTTGGGGTGTATACAACTCATGTAACTTGTAGCTATTGGGTGATGCATGACTTGTAGATGTTGGGGTGTATTCAAGTGCATATAACTCATCTAACTTGTAGATGTTGGGGTGTATGCAATTCATGTAATAGCTGTTATGCATGTAACCACCACAACACTAATTGAGCAGCCTCTTGGTGCTCGATAACAAGGGCCTTCTTGTGAGGAAAAACTTTTGGACACACTTAGAACATTTTTTTAGTTTCTCTCAAGAGACCATTCTCTGCAATTCCAACAAGCAAACCAATGGGCTAACTCCCACTCTCCACTCGATTTATCTCTTTCTCTCTCTAAACTATCAAGACTTTGGTGTCTATTGTGTTGGTTCTAAGCTCGGGTGCATAGAGCTTAAGAACATCGAAAAATACATCTTTGTTTTCCTATATCCCCAGGACGAATAGCCTTTCTTATACACAACAAATACTATATCGAAGGGGGGCAAATATCATCTTGAGATAGTACTCTTATGTGCCTGAAAACAAGAAAAGTTTGATATCCTAATTTTCCAAATCATACCGTTTTCTACCCGCATTTCACCCAACTTTTTCCAATGCTCCATCCTAAACATTTTATCATGTAACAATTATATTTCATGAAATTATCATGTATTCAACACTAGGGAAAGCATGTGATAGGGAGGTGACTTTCCATAGCTCAAATAGGGAAATTATGTGATAGGAAGGCAAGTTCTTATGTCAAAAAGCCTACAAATCAATCATGTTCTTTTATGTACTAAAAATGGTCCATTTGCTACACTATTTCTACCATTCATTCAAGTCTTTAGATATCCATTATTTTTGGAACTTCTAATTCCACAATCAAGAGCAAAAATATATTTACATGCCAACTCAAGGGTTTTCAACACCATAATCTTGTTTGTGGGGAATTGAGGTACTACTGTA